GCATAAATGTAAATTTAACAATCGCTTATCGGAACGTGTTACACGGCGATAGAGGGCGAACAAGTTCGGTTAAAGACGCCGACTCGAGTTGGAACCGGGTTCACGACTGTAAATGGCTTATTTACCAGAAAGGTGGAACAACTGAAAAATCTTTATTTCGAAGAAGAGACTACTGGTTCCTCTTTAGCTTCTTCTCTCTTTAGGCTTCTTCCTTCGAACGAAAAAATCTAAGGCGATCGTAGGACGAGAATCGTTGAAAAGCTAAATCGAACTTCGGGAAAAAGAAACTATTTTTCGTTGGAAATAGAGTTGAAATTTCTCGAGCTGCGATTCATCGTCGATATTACCCTCGAAACCCTTCCAACCTAACCTTTCGAACTTTAGATCTACTATACGTCGAGAAAAGCACAGACGACCATTAAAAAAAACAATACTCTTCGAACTACCTACTCTAAATTACGACGCAACGCTTCAGGAATAAAAAAAGGCAAGCCCTCCAAAAACACTCTTTGCGAGAAGAGAAGAAAAAGAAGCTCGAAAAAGAAAGAACGGAAGAAGCTCGAAAGAAGAAACCAGGTTTCCCACGTGGACGAAAGGTTTTGCGACCGTCAAACGATCCCAATTGCATCGAAATTCATTTTTTCGTAGGACACGTACGATCCGTGGCTCGCCTCGTGACGAAGAAGCGTTCGAGGCTGGTTTCGAAGGGGAAAAAATTGCAAGGCGTATCGTGAAAGATGGGTAAGCACCAAGCGGAACATTCATGCTCTAGTGAAATTAAATACTAGCGCGGCGAGAGTGCGTATAGAGTATAAAGCCGCCTCGAAGCCATTTAAACGAAGCCGAAGGCGAGGATATTCGCCTGGCTTTCCACCGCCATAAATCTTCGCCCGACGTACCGACCACGTGGTGCAACTGCTATACGATGACCACTTTGTCGCTGCCCTTGTCCAAACGTTGCGCGCACGATTCCCTTCGAAAGTTAAGATTTCGCAAATTGCCCGATTACCGTCGATTATTCTTCCGTTTCTCCGACTCTGTTGGTAATCGAAGATCGACGATCGGATCGTTGGTCATTGGATGGCCCTTTATTTCCAGCGGAACGATATCCATCGGCATGGAAGAGTTAAAACGGAGGTGAATGATACCTATAGAAAGAGATTATATGTATTAAAGTAACCGCTGGTTACTAAAAATACACGTTACGTCATTGATATCGTTTTGCCTTGGTAATAAACGTTACATACAATTATTGCGTGTGACCTGTTTATATGAAGCGCCGCCACAATGATTCATAGTTGTGCGTTTCTGCAATTAAAGAACCTATTATACTTGTATTTAATAGCTCTGTTCGTACAACCAGTAATTCTAACGGTTGATTACAATTTCTCGAATAACAGTTTAACGCAGTTACAGTAATCGTTTGTTTTACAACTTATTCGCAACAGCTGCTGCCGTTAATATTTAATTGGTTAAAAAGTAACACGACGTGATCAATGGCCTAGGAATAGATTTAACGTATCGCGCGTCAAGCTTCACATTTCGATAGGTGATACAAGTTACATAGGAAATATCGCGAGAGTTTATTTTAAGTCGATAATTGTCCTACGTATATATATTATAACGCGAGGAAAGACGCGCGTGTAACTTTAGCAGCAAGAAACGATAACGAATATATTCCATTCATTGTTAAAATTCCATTCTTCGAAGCACACAGGATGTTCTTCTTGTGAGACGCGCGTATACATGCACACAGACACACTGGGATTACTAGGTGCATGCTAGAAATAACGCTAAAGTCTAATTAGTAGGCGAACAATAACGACGAACATGGCGAAAAGTTAATGAATGCAATCGTGTAGTCAATTTGAATTTTAAATTTCATTGATAGCATCTAGAACCAAATGTGAAGAAATAATGGTTAACGCTTTTGGTTAATTAATGCGGTCTGTCTTACGTTTAATATAATTGGCCTGCCAAAAACTGTCAAATACATGGATTAATTGGCTACGTCGGCGAAACGTTTTTTAATTAAAAATATATAAATATCGGAGAATACTAGAAACCCGAATATTCCATTACCACCTTATTACAGCGTATGGTTATCGGAATTATTATAACCGCCAGTGTCGGAACGAATCTAGAATATATTAGCTAATGAACGATAGTTCGAAGCAACTGTTCCGACGACGATAGTATCGTACAGCCAATAACGAACCAAGACCACAACTTACTCGTGACTTATAGTCGCAATTTGATTGTATGTTTATCCTGACTCGATCATGAGCCACCGTAATACGATCGTGACTACATCACTGTCACTATTGTTCGTCAGTGTCACGACGCTGTCATCGTGACCATGACCATGACCGTCGCTATAAAAATAATGCATTTACGATCATTGCTGTTTCGCTTCTAATATCGTCGCAACTATTTCTGCCTTTCGACTTATAAACGTTATAAACGTTATTATTCTCGTTACTAATAACACCAGTTACGTCGTTATCTCACAACGGGTAACTCAAAAACCACGATTTAAAGAACGAGAGACTTATTTTCATAAATTTATGTATGACACGGGACAGTCTCGATCGCGAATTTCAACCTAGATTTCGAAAGATAATGTTTATAATTACCATTTATCTCCACTTTCCGACTTATGGAGTTGGTAAGCACCGTTGGCGGTACCCCTCAAACATTAATAGCAAGAATGAAACGACGAATCGCGGTAGGAAAATATAGAGAAGTTTCTGCGCGTGATAAAAGCGAACGTACGAGAGACTATACCTGCGATTAAAGTTACATTCGAATAATCGCGTTTACGGCGCTCGTCCAACCCAACCGACCGACCAATCATCGAATGGACGATCGAGCGAGCAGCGAGATATCCGGCCATCCGGTTTTCACCGAGCGTCTAATACAAGACGGTCGTGATCGTTCCGATTTACTCGGGCCGTAGTCATAGTACTCCAGCGTAGCACTTATTGTTCAGTCGTTACGACGTCGTCTGGTACGCGCTGCCAACATCCGGTCGCGTAAACTTGCACGCGCGTACGACGCTCGTAGTAAGCTCGTAGTACGCGCAAACGAGCCGAGAAGCCGCGAGTTTCGTGCACGAAGGACATTCCCACTCCTACACGGACCGTTTCTTTCTCCCGTTCAAATTATCCGGCGGAAGTGGCCCTCACTTTCCCTATACACGCTTCAGAAATTTCTCGACTCGGCCAAGAAACAAACGAATAAGCCCGCACTAGGGCTACGTTCGATCGCCGGATACGGAGAGAGGAGAAGGCCTCTCGCATGCACGGTTCTCGAGCCGTTGGCGATAATGCGATTCTATATTCTGCAGCGACGATAGTAACGTAGCAACGATTCGCGAGCAGTGCCTCCGCACCACGAAATCGGCCAACCAATTTTTATTAATCTTCTAACGACACGAAGGATAGGAAGAAAATGTCACGTTTATTGTTCTTCGAGTCGATACTGTATATACTATAATGAAACATTTTGTTATTTGTTGGTCATAGGTGATTGCGACGTAATTATATCGTAACAAAAGACGCTTTATCGTTTGCGTACATCGCTATGAAACTATTTTAAAATACGGAGGAGGCTATTAGTTTATTCGAGATAATTTACGATACAAGTTGATTAAAGTTGCAAGTTTTAAGTCCAGATCCGATTACGTGTTGATTATACGATCTTGGAATTATTACTTACATCCATTGCATCCTTATACCTGATCACGTGATCTTAGAATTACTCAATCCCATTTATCTTTTCTCTTTCCGTGGTTGCAGAGATTTGCTGCGGAATCGAGGCTATTATTCCATCACGGTGAAAATATGGAACGCTATTTAAAAAACTCAAGGTGACCTCCATACTTCTTAATCCCTTGCAGTTCCACAGAGTAAGATTCCTAACCTATCGTCTTTGGATCTTTTATTTTACATCTACCAATCTTTCTTCGTAAATCACTGCTTTGATCTGTTTTGTGATAAAAGAATGGAATTTCTCCGTTTCTCGTCACGCGTATATGGTGTATTACAGACACCTGAAGGAAGTCGTTCTTCGTCGAACGGAGCGAGAGTCCTTCGACGTTTTCTACCGATATTTTCATCTTTCACAACCGATGAAACGATCGATCAAATTTTACACTCGAAAATGTGGACGAAAAATAACAGAACATTCGAAAAGAGTGGAAATTTCGATAGCAAAGAGCAAAGTAAAGAATTTCGACATTGTATATCAACGAACAGAAACGAATGAGTCCGGACTTGTCCGAACTCTCTCGAGTCAATATCGTATTGCGATCACATGGAACCCCATGCCACGTTATTAGAAATTTGAACATGGTCACGATTTAACGTGGCTATTAAACGTAATAAAATATCATCGAGAAACGTGTAACTCGAAGATTTGTTGCAATTCGATGGAAAAATACGTTTTGGAAAAATTTTACTCTTAGTGGAACGTTTAAAGAAATTTATCGCTGTAAAATTGCGATGATCGTAATATTTTGTACAATAAGAATCGAGACGAACGTAGGCAGTTTGTATTTATTAGGATATATACGATAAAGATCCTGTAATTTCCAGAATTTCAACAGGTTTCCTATTATCGATTTGCCAGCGACTCGCGACTTATGGTACTCGCACGAAGGAAAACGTTCCTTACGTAACGTCCGCGTGGTATGGATAACGCGGAAAAGAAAGAATAAGATCGATACGCGAATATAGTTACTTTACTTTATACCTGTTAATAATTTTGAACGTTTATCGCCACCAAATTAAACTTATTCTTTTAACAAAACAGAGTTAACCTTTCGTGCGACTGTAAATTCTAAAACGAGAAACTTGCAAACGACTCGTCGATTTCGTTCTGCGGCGAAGGAAAAAGATGAATAAAAAGTGGCATTTCGCTGGAAAGGGCAGGGTTTTTTGGTCGCGAGCAATTGAAGGGTTTAAATCCCATGACGAGATATTTCCACCTGTTCGCAGGTTCTAGCGGAAATGCTGAATCTCGCACGGCACCGAAGGGACTAGACTAGACAAATCGTACACGTTGAAAAAAGCTTGCCAGGTGACGGAGGGTCGAAAGACGGCAGGTTAGAACGCTACACCTTGGTTCCGTGGATATCGTGGACGTCCCTGAAATAACACGAGACGCCGAAGGTGGCGACCCTGTAGGTGGCAGTCGCGCTGGGTTCCTGTTACACGATGCGAATCCGGCACTGGCGCCCCAGTCATGCCAACCGATGGTGGGGGGACAGTTACGTTTCACGTGACACGCTGGCGCCTTGGTGGTAGGGATCGATCCGTGATCACGTGACCGTTGGCGCCGAGATGGTGGGGACGCACCTACCACCCCTTCGGGAAGAACGAACTGGAGAAGAGCGAACCACGGCAGGAAGACCGGCGGCATTCTGACCTGGTAAGTCGCCAGTGTCGGATCGTGAGAAAGTGAATAAGACTAAAGCATCGGAGGACATTTAAATCGACCGTGTAAGCGACAATCGTTTTTAAAAGCGAAACGGTTTCGCCGCGAACTGTCTACGACGCGGACGCAATTGACGGATTACGAGCTACGCCAAACCAAATTACGCTTATTTATTACAATTCCTACGTCGTACGAACCTTCGTCCGATCATTTTTATTCGTTCGCTACCAGTGTGTGTTGACGCGCTATTGTAACGCGTTTTCGGTTCTTTCTTGCTCTTTATCCTGGATCGAGAGAGACCGTTCCGACGAAACCGAGGATACGCGAAGAAAAACAGGAAGAGTCAAACACAGAAGAAAAGAAGAAAAGAAAAAAAGGTACTATACAAGATCGAGAGACCGGTAGCTACTTTGGACAGCGAGAATAGGAGAGACGAAAGTAAAGTGTGTTGTGCATGGAACGCAAGGGATAACAAAATCGGTAGACCAGCTTTTTTTCCCACAACTTTGTCGAACCCCGACAGATTCTCGCCGTTGTATATATTGTTTTCGCGTAAACGGCCTTTAGGTGAGTGATATTCGAAGTCATCGCCCGAAACCAAGGTCCTGTTACGTGTATATATACACGCGTACGCACACGTTCGACACGCGTGTATTCCTCTGTTAGTTTTATTTTGTGAAGTGTTGAGCAGTGTCCTGGGCGAGGTAAGCGTCTTGCCGTGCGAATTCGTGCCAACTTCTCTAGCCGTGGCCGTATCTTTACGATCGATTTGTGCATGCTCTGTCTGGTCGCGCCGGTGAAAAACGGTTTGGCAACGTGGCACGTGAATAAAGTGACACCGCGACGACGACGACGACGGCGACG